GGCCCAGCGCCCACAGACCCCATCTCCCAAAGCCATAAATTCTGTACTAACTAAGCCAGGCTGTCTCAAGTTACGGGTCCGGACTGTCCTCGGAAATAAGACCATCATAAATGTTAGAAAGGCTTTGCTCAAGGAAAGAATTCTGGTGTACTTTACTCATAACTAGAACCATCTGGAAGCAATCTCGCATTCACACGATGGACTTCTCTTCCTCTTTGGACCTCACTCTCTCTACAAATCCCATCAGGCCAGCAACAGCTGCTGGAGAGCCTGGCTGGCCTCCAGGGGTGTAGCTACAGACCCCCTTCCACACGGATGTCCTCCTGGGCCCCCAGCTTGCCCGGACACAGCGCACGATGAACACGCACCCCACGTGAGAAAGCTAAATCACCAGCAGGCCCGGGAGCAGGGACCCAGTGCCACAAAGGCAGCTGTGAGAAACTGTCGTTCCAACTTGGTAACATAGACGCTTGCCAGCAAATTACAGCCCGAGATGGCTCAGAGGGCTGCGGGTCGAGACACAGACTCACACTGCAAGCTATGCGCATCATGCAACAGCAGCTCAACACAAAGGGCTGGGGAGGAGGGGTGCCGGCCCGTACTGGGGCAAGGCCGGGACCCTGGCACCAGGACCACTGACACCAGGCACAGAAGGTGAGGGCTGGGCCGCGTCAGGGACCAACTCAGTGCTGGGGGTGCTCTGAAGAAAATGCCTTTGTAAATCAAACTACTGGGCAAGCAATTCCTCGAGCGGGGCGGGGGGTGGGGGGAGACAGGGAAGAGACCAGTTTCATTATGAAGGTCCTGGTGACAATAACCTTTTGTCCTCTATACAATCTGGGCCTGCCAAGCTGCTCCACAGTCTCTGAGAAAGCATGAGGTGGGGAGAGAAAGGCTCCCTGTCAGGAGGCCACAAACTCATCCTTGACGATGAGACAAACCTGCCCCCACCCCTGGAGTGGACATCCTCTCCCACACCTTCCTGTCCACTGCAGACAGAGCACGGAGGGCTGGCCTGACGCTCCTCTAAGATGAGAGCAGGCAATCGATGTTCCTCAGCATAGGAGACCTGGTTCTCTGCAGATCCTCCCGTCAGCACCTCCAAATCGCACACAGACTCTTAGTGACGAGTGTGAAGCAGCCCAGTTTAATTTGGCCGGCAGTCTAGTAGGTCAGACTGGGAACCAGAAAAGATAGTACCTCAGCTGCTCCTGAAATGCTTCACCCCTTCTTCTTGTTTATAGGACTGTCACAGAGACACGAATCCTGGTGGATAGGGACCCCCTGGCGCCCCCTGATTCACTTGGCACTACAGCTCAAAACTGAGTAATTATGTGTAATCTTACCCTGAAGAAAAATGGACTGTTGCACTGTATCACACAGAGCTCTAGGCCTCAGAAACCTGGGATCTAGGCCTTATTCTGACACTTCTGCATTGGTAGAAGCTGAGCAAACCACCTAATCCCTCTCCATCTCAATCCGCTCAACCACAAAATGGGAACAAGGAGGAGTCCTTCAGCATCGATTAACTGGGCACGGTAAACAGTGTGTGCCTGGAGCGACGCTGTCTGGGCTCACGTCCCAGCTGCTCCCACTTACTATTATGTAACCTTAAAACAGCCTCTGCCTCAGTCACCTCATCTGTGAAACAAATCTAATTCACAGGACTGTGAAATAGAAGGAATCATGTACAGCTCTCATCACAACTCCTGGCCCTTAGCTCTTCCAATAACTGTCAGATAGGCCCACTGCCATCACACTTAGTGGGGGCCAGGGGGGGCCCATGTCCACCACAACGGGGTATATGCTATAAGGATTAAAGGGTTTTGAATTAAGTGAACTCTTGATTTGTGGAAGTATTCCAGAAGAACAAGTTCACAGGCCAAGGCTGACTCTGAAGCCAAGAAACATAAAGGAACATGGTAAGGACCTGTCTCCTTGAACATGACTCATTCCAAATACTTACCAGACCACCTCGACCAATTCCAACAACTTGGTAGTCATTTAAGGCATTTGTGGGAAAAGAGTCACAGACCTTCGTCTCCCTTTCTATAGAATTTGCCAACTCTTCTCTTTCTAGAGACAACTCGGAGGGGCAGCAACATGAGATCCCATGGGTTTTCTTTAAGTCCTGTCTATAATAACTGGCATATCTGAGGTTTCTCAAGAGAGATTAAACATTTAAAAAAGGAATTTACTCAAGTTTAAATTCATTAACGGTTATACAGGTAGTAGTCTAACTGGGTCTTTAACTCCCCCACTTACTCCAACAAAGGTATAAAGAACTCGCCTTTTCCTGAAGCATCCATTTCAAGTCAAAAGCACAGGTAGGAAATACACAATGATGTACATCAATGTCTGCTCACAGGCAAAGCTGGAGCCAACAGCCACACAAGGAACCGTGCTGAAACAACTCAGCAAGTCATGTCTGACTGAAGCCATTCTCAGTCTTGGCTCCTCAATTATTTGGTGCCGTCTGTGAAGGTCCATACATTATATACAGCCTGTTTATGGACTGCTTATTTTCTTAGGATCATGCTAATTAATACCGTGTGTGTGTGTGTGTGTGTGTGTGTGTGTGTGTGTGTAAGAGAAAGCAAGAGACTGAGTGTGGGTGTATGAAGTTGGATGTAATCTAGTCCCTGAATGTATCTACATTTTAAAAATTATAAAATGGGGGTAATCTTTAGCCACTTGTTTACCAAGTATGTTTTGGCTGCTTAGATCTAATTTGCCTTTCTGGCATAGGAAGAACACACAAACGGCCTTGCCTCAAGTTTAACGTTTCTCAGATGCAAGCAAGCTCCTTATTCCCACCCTTCCCACTCACCATCCACAACTACCTGGCTCTCAAATGCAGTCACTCACACCCTTTCCTGAAATCTAATAATCAATCATGGGTGTTTACTGGGTGTCTGGCACCAGGCAAGGCACTGCCCCCTCCTGGAGGATTACAGACTAGTCAAAGAGACATATTTAAACAGGTAAGTGGAATAATTAATGACTTACCTCTTACAGTTCTCCCTCGGCCTAAATCATCTAGTTTCTTGTTCATTTCCTTCCTTCTCTGTTTTCTGCCTCCATCCCTCCATTTGACCCTTGAGACCTCACGTACATAGCTCTATGCTGATGTTGTTTTTGTTTTTGTTTTTGTTTTGCTGGGTACCTAAATTTGCTTTCTCTTGCCATTCTCCTTCAAACTCCTTAGGGCTGCCATCCTAAAATCTTGCTTTCATCATTCATTCTCCTTCTCAGAAACACAGCAGCAGAACCCACAGCCTCCCACAGTAAATGTATCTCTCTGCATGGCTTCCCTCATCCTTGATTACATTCCCTTGATACTGATTCAGTCTGATTTCCCATAGACAATCTCTTTCTTTTTGGCCATGTTCCTCACTGTCTCTCAGATCCACTCTTTTTGTTTATGTGTTTGCAATCATGAGGATTTCTGACCTGAGACAATGTTCCCTCCACAATTCTGCAAAACCTAGACCAAACCCAACCACACTTTTCTAAACTATGGTAGCCCTCACCTTCAACTTCTCTGTGAGAAGGGCTGATTTTTGATGACTGGATAAAAATGAACTTATTAAGAAAATTAATGCTTCCAGGGCACCAAAAACTCCAGAACCTCAGAGCTGCAAAGAGGGTAAACCCTTTCTGCCAAATCCATTCATGTTCTACAATAGGGGTAAATAGCTTAAGCTTTGTCGGTCATACAGTCTCTGTGCCAACTACTCAACTTGTTGTAGAGTGAAGGTAGCCAAAGATGAAATGTATATAAATGAATGTGGTTGTACTCAAAAAATATATATAGACAGGGACGTGGGTGGAATTTGGGTTCTGGGCAATGCTTGCTGACCTTCCTCTAGAAGAAGAGTGGATAATAGTGAAAATCTTCTCTTTTAGATAATAAAGGATAAGTGAAAGGGCCTTAGATCAGCCCTTACTTTCCCTAGGTAGCTCAACTGTTCCCTTATCCTAGTATGTATTTAAGGAGTAGATTTCCAGCCTAAAAGTCACTACCATGAGACTTTGGGCTGTGATCACATTTTACAGCTCTTTTGGTCAACATGAGAAGAGAAAATGGAATTCACTTCTTTGCCCATGTTGGAGATATGGCAAGGAACGAGTCTACTGTCTCATCCTCCTCCTCTCCACCAGTCTGGTGGGAGGCTCCCTGGCCAGTACCTGAGGGCTAACAGTAAATCTTCACCCCCAATGAAGTGAGCCTCACCCCTTCACCCCCAATACTACGTACCAGGCCCTGCGCTCTCTCATCTAGTCTTTATGTCAATCCTATGGTGGATACATACTTCATATCATATCTGACTTTCATATGGAAGGAAAAGATGAGCTCTCGGTCAGCGTTAGCCACTGGTCCTCCATAGAAGTGATCTTGGTGCTGATATGGGTGTGTTATGGAAGGAGACGCCCCGCCAAGATTCTTATTTCAATGTAAATGTGAAAAAATAATGTATATGGCTCATTACCTCTAGTCTTTACAACAACCCTTCAAAGAACCTTTTTTTTTTTTTTTTTTTACTTTTTCCATAGAAAATTAAGCTTATAAGTGTTAAGTACTTTATCTAACTTTGCCTTTTTAGAAAGCTCAGAGTTGAGATTCAAATCCAGGCCAGTTTGGCTCAATAAACTGTTAGCCCATTCCTTTGAGCCCCTGACCTAAAAAACCAAATTAAATGTGTTTTAAAAGCCTCAAAAATGCTTGCTCATGTGAAGGGAGGAAGTATGTCAGCTTCATGGGGTCTAGTGTCCCCAAAGAGGACCTCAGGGAAGCAGAGAGGGAAACCAACACCATGATTTAAGAACAGTCACCCCGGCAAAAGGAGCAGAAGCGGGCAGAGCCCATAGGCCTTTGCCACCAAACCAGATCTCTGGCCGCACAACCTGATCCAAACTGCGTAAGTGCTTTTTATGATGGTGACGATTCCTTCACACATACTGTGGCAGTGCTGAGGCAGAGGGAGGCATGTTCTTACCAGCCTGTCATATTAAAGTCCCTGTAGAGCATCTTCTTTCCAAGTTCCTTTCTCTGTACTCTCCTTGGAAACTCCAAATGTGTGAATTCATTTCCCAGCAAGTGAGGCTGCATGAATGCCTAATAGCAAAAGAAAGGAATGGAGAAAAAAATAAACCACATATTCAGAAGAAAAAGTAAGACTCAATAATGTTTTGCAAATCAAGACATATTTCAAAACCCAGAAAACTATTCTAAGGGAAAAAATAGGTATATTCAACAAATAGAAAAATTATTTCTATTCTACAAGTAGAATATCAGCAAATAAAAATCACCAACTAAACTTACAAAGGGATATAACTTTTTCATTTAATATAATAAATTGTAATCAGAGACACAATTGCAAAAGACAAAAGGAAAAGAACCTGAGTTTCTCCAAAAGTTCACTTTTTAATTCAAATCCAAGATCTTTTCATTTTCCTGAATAGCACGTTGATGCAGCAAGAAGGCTCTCCCTGACTCTCCTACTTGGCTTTCTCTGCTCCTCTCCTGCTCACACTCTTGGCGATCATGGTCTTGCCTTTGAAACCTCCACATCAACACAATGGCCCAAGAGAGCAGGTTGGGACTGGATACACCAGACAGGAACTTTCTGTTGGACTCCCTCCATTTTGCTCTGCAGTAATTTGATCATGTAATTGGAAGACTATTTCACAGCAGATGGCTTCTTCCCCTCCCCCAAATCTCTGTTCACACTACAAAAGTCTTGAGCAAACAGCCACTTAGGGAATTGCTTTGAAACAACAAACAGTCTCATTGTCACGTTCAAAATTCAAACCCGCTATCCAAGAGACAAAATGCTCAAGTATTAACTTCCTGCTCAAAGCCCACACGCTATAAGCAGACTTGCCCCGAAGCTTCCCCATACCGAGCCATACACCTGCTTATTAGCAGCATGGTGGAATGGATTCTTTCTCTCCCTCCCTCCATTATTTTTAAATTTTTTTATCTTTTTATTTTTTGGCAGGGAAGAGTGGGCAGAGCAAATCATGACCTGGCACTTTAGGAAAGCAAGGGATCCCTGCCACAGGACAGATGGCCATGTCCTCAGCCTCCTGGAAATAGGCACCTCCCACAGCCTCTTTCCCAAGATCTGACACCAGGAGACCTCCTGCTAATCCTCATAGTGGTTTGGAGGTTTAGTTGGACATTGGTCATCCTAAGCTAAGTATATTGGGAATCAAAGGCCCCAAGCTGAACTGTCCCCAGGCTGGCTAGACTGGGCCAGATAATGGAACTCTTGAGCAAGCTTGCAGACATGGCAGGCAGTACTGAGAAAGGGAATGGTCTTTACTGTCCTGTGTAGCTCCCAAATTTCCCAGGTCTTACAGGAATTCTGGAGCATCCTGAGGGGTTCTGAAACCTCTGCTGGGAGTGAAGGTTGGGTGCTGCTAAGCATCAAGGACCCTTAAACACTGAGCTTTAGAGAGAGTTCCCTGGGATGGAAGAAAGGGAATACTTTATGGCAGGTCTGTGGTGTGGGCTTTGGGTGAGCCTGACTCGGGTCTGAATCCAAGTTCTGCATGGATAAGCTGTGTGACTTTAGTTGGTGATTTAGCTTCTGGACCCTCAGTTTCTCAGTCTGAGACTGCGTATTTATCTCACACTTTTAATAATTAAATGAGTGCACTTAATTGTAATTGTCTCTGCTCATAAAAAAATGATTATATCCATCTAATGATTACTGATCCCTATGACATCCTGGGCACCGTGGTATGTGCTTTGTGAGCTCTCCTATCACACTGCCAACAACCATACAAGGTGGAAATGGCTACACAATCGTGGATCCCAGTGCAAAGTGAAAATGTGGAGACTGTTCAAAACTAAGAATTTCTGAACCACGTACAGAGCCTATGCAGCTGTAGGCGTCACACACCCAGGAGGCCAGCTGGACTGATCGAAGGAGCAGAGGCATAATTAGTCCATGAATAGCAACACCTACTATGTACCCTTTAGCATCTCCTAGAGCTTTGGGGCTCTGTCGGCATGACATTTTGGTTTATGCCCCACCCCCCAAGCTTGCTTAACACTGACTTAGGGGTTACAGTGCACCAGGCATGTGACACACTTGCTACAACCTCAACAATCCTACAAATCACACATCAGAGACTCACTTTACACATGAGGAAACTGAGGCCCAGAGAACTTAAGACACCTAACCCAAGGTTATCAGCCAGGGCTGGGTGGTCTCAGAGCCTAAGCCTAATACCATGTCCATAAACACCCATCCCAACCCTTTAACCTACACACACATTTACAAAAAAAAAAAGTGGGGGTGAGGGGAGAGAAAAGGCCTATGATCCTGTTGCTCCCGGGCCATGCAAAGTCTAAATGGCCAACAGGTACCTGTGAGGATCTAGTTAACAAAACATTAGAGATCAGCAATTCAGCCACAAGGATGTTCCTGAAGAAGCTGAAAGAAATCCTTTAACAATAGGAGGGACTAAATAAAGTAGTAAAAATCTATACAATGGAATTCTATGGTGTCACTTACAATGATGCTACAGAGAATAGGAATGACACGAAAAGAGCAGATATATATGTAAAAAAAACAGGTCATCAAACATATGTGAGTGTGTGTGCACGTAGGTGTATGAGGTCATGTAAGTTATGTCATATACACACAGATCTAGATATAAGACATATAGGTACATACCAATGAATGTGTGTGTTTAATCTGGGTAAATACCCCCCATACATATCATTAAGGAACAGGTTAGGAGTGAACCCTAACCTATGTACATTTCTTCGCAGACCCAAGGGCCTCAGAGGGATCAATGTGCAGCGTTCCAGACACCTGGCCTCGTTCCCAGAAGAGTGAGTGGCTCTCTGATGGTGCTTTCCCTGGGTACCCTCACACTCTTCTTGCTAGTACATGTTTGTGTCAGGGCAGTTGTAAGGGAAGGGCTGCTGAGGCAGACGTCTGCAAAGTAGCTAAGAACTCATGAGCAGCTTGCTTTCTGCAGGGGTCACCTCACCTCTCCCTCTGAGTGGTCTTAAATCCCATGTTCCTGTCATATCTGTAGCCCCATCTCTTGCAGGGACTTTCAGGGTCTCATACTGCTTGCTTTCTCTCATTCTAGCAATAGGCTACTGTGTTTCATCACTCCTAAGATGCCCTTTATTAGAGGAGTTATTTTATTACCTCTAAGAAAGAGGGGAAGCTGCCCATTAAACAAAGTGCAATACTTTCTTTGAATTTTTATTTTATTCTTTTTGAAAGGGCTCCTTTGGACTTGGACAAATTTTTATATATCACTCTGGGGTATATTTAAGAAGATTATATAGATGAAGTATATTGGCTAGGGATTTCCAAAATGGCTTCACATTTAGAATTCAACTGCCCATCAGTTTTCAACTCTGAATCACTAAGGGTCATGATTTCCTAGGCAATAGTGACCCATGTTTCATGGGAGCGTTGGTGATGCAGCATTTCTTAAATAATTCACCCAAGAACTAGGAGCCTCAGAACCAGGGGTGCAAAGTTCTTAAGTTAGTTCTGCAACGATCCAGAGCCAGCTTACTTTGGACTCCCACTTCTGGAATATGGCTGAACAAGTCAGATTCACGCCTCCAAGCCCCTCTGTACAGCAGGATCAATCCACAAAGGCTTTAAGAGTGCTTCATTTTTGTTTTCAGGGTTTTCTTCTAAGCTGCCAGATGTCCATCCTGCAAGTTTGGTGCTGTTCTTTTGATGTTTGTACATGCCCAGGAGGGGACACCCATGTCATGCCTGCCACTTGACAGCAACAATCAGTTGTAAAATATCCCAAGTTCAGATATGTACAAAAGGTGAAAAAAAAAGTGCCTTCGCTCTGAAGAAATACTGCAATATGTGTCCTCCATTGATACATTAGATTTCTCTACCTGTACGGTTATTTTCCTTCCTCTCTTACTGCCACAGCACATTTCATATGATGCAAGACATATTTTCTGTCACAATTATGCCCACCATAGACTTCACCTCTATTCTGTGTGTACCGATGACATATTTTTACTACTTTTAAAAATTGCCTCCATGTCCTAATAGTAGGCTTCCTTCTTACCAGCACTTTCAACACTCACTCTTGTTGTATTTGTCAGACCTGATGGAGTTCCTGGTGTTAAAGAAAAAACAACTCAGAAACTAAATAGAAGTAGAGCAAATAGGTGATTAATGAAAAATGATATGCTAAAATACAATGGGACACATATCTGTTGGTTTTAGAGGAAAACATACTTCTGCTCATTAATGTATCTTTTTCTGCAATACTCATGAAAGTTTTTGGATTTCATCTTAGTTATTAGGTGGGCTGTTATATGGAAATACCACAGATGGCAGGTTTGAACAGCACACACTTAAGTCTCACTGTTCTGGAGGCTGGGAAGTCCAAGGTGAAGATGCCAGCAGATTTGCTGCCTGGCTTGCAGACTACTCCCTCTGACTGCATCTCATAAGGGCTTTCCTCCGTCTCTCAGGGTGAGAAATGGAGCTCTCTGGGGTCGATTCTTATTAGGACATTAATCCTATCTGATGAAGACCCCACTCTCATGGCCTCATTTAACCTTAATCATTTCTAAAAAGGTCCTATTTCCAAATCCAGCACACGGGGCAGGGGGGATAGGGCTTCAATAGAAGGGTTTTCTTTTGAGGGGGGGCGAGGTAGAGGGTGGGGAGGATGGCAGTACACTCAGTCCACAACATGGTCTTTTAGGTATACGTGTTTAGAGAAGTACATATGTTAAGTCACCTAAATATTGTAAAATGTTATCTGATGGTTTCCCTTTTGATTTACCTGTATTTATGATTATTTTTTACTATTGAACATGGATTGCTTTTGTTTGAAAAAACTAAAAAAAATTTTGAGAACAGTTTTTAGTTATTTTTAATTAAGTTTTTATTTTAATTCCAATATAGTTAAAATATAGTGTTATATTCATTTCAGGTGTACAATGTAGTGATTCATCAATTCCAGACAATAGTCAGTGCTCATTAGGGTTAGTGTGCTCTTCACCCCTTCATCTACTTCACCCATCTCCCTACCAACCTCCCCTCTGGTGACCCTCTGTTCTCTATAGTTAAGAAGCTGTTTCTTGTTTTG